GAGTAACCCAAGAGATGGCGGTTGGTGGTGATGACTAGCTGCATTCCCTCTAGTCTTACACTGCTAATAGCCCTCGTGTAGCTTTGCGCGAAATTCAAAACAAACAAACAAACTTAAGATAGCCTTATTTTGTTTTAAACATCAAAACACCAACCAATGTAGTAAAAAATATGCAATACCGTGTATATTAGCTAAGTAAATATAAAAACAAAACCACACATCTGGAACAAAACATTAGCACAAAGAGGAGTTTTCCCTCATAGATTAGGTGATACACACGTGGTTAGGAAACAGTTCAACTTAATGCGATCTCCAGAGGTGTTTAAGTTCGGTACAGTTTTGATAATACACCTTGGTGTAGTTTGTTTGGAAATTCGCACAAAACCACATTAGCCCTAACTTAGAAGTGATAGAGGGAAGGTAAGCTAGTCAACAATCCACTGCAATCTCTTGAGCTAGTCCTTTAACAACGAATAGTGAGATCGACCATCACATTATAACGTCCCCACGGCTGAAAGGGCGAGCATGGTCGGTGACGAGGATTCGAACCCGCGACCCTCAGATTGCTAGTCGAGTGCCCTAAATATCATGCGATATGTGTGAGAGGAAGTTGTTAAATATGTATCTTGAGTATACTGTACACGTAGGTTAGTGAAGAGTTTATAGTTTCCAAACGTACAAATAATTTGAAATAATTATATGAATAGACTCTTACCACCCTATGGACTGGAAATCAGCCAAAATGATAAAACGAATAATTATCGAAAGCTATCTTAAGTGTACTGAACTTTAACACCTCTGAAGGTCACGTCAAGTTGAACTGTTTCTTGACCACGTGTGTCCTCAAGGGAACTTCGCAATCAGCTGGCTGGGCACATTTCTTCTCAATACCTTGTAGGACTGAAGATTGAGTAAAGACGAAGAATTATCAACAGAGAAACTACTAGAAGAAACCAAAAGATGCCCAGATCTTCATTCTGCTGTCAGAATAGCTCTCATTCTTTCATCTTCCAGCGCAGAAGCAGAGCGAACTTTTTCTGCTATGCGTCGACTGAAAACTTGTCTAAGATCTACAATGAAATCAGACCGACTAAGCGACTTGGCCCTTATTCATGTTCACGGGAAGCGTTTAAATCAAAATATAAAAGAAAAAGTAATTACGCCACTAGCGAATGACACCCGACTCTTAAAGTGGGAATATATTATGTTATAACCTCTAATAACTTTTTGTATGCAGTCTCTTATTAGCTAGTTTTCTATAAAGATGATAAAAAATTATTTATGGATCTTTGATAATGGAATTATTCTAGTTTTAACGAATAAAAATCATTAAGCTGGTTTCATTTCCTTAATGCATATTCATTCAACGTAAGCAATGTTCAGAAGACCTATAACCTTTCAAAGAAGGAAGGTAAAGATATTTTCACAAATTGTTACGTTATGGCTTCTCCTAAACCATAATCCTGGTTACGCTCTTGTTTCAAGATGACACATGAAAATTTCGAAATTAGTTTCCTAGACTTTGTTCAAATACTTTGTTCCTAAAGTGTATTTTATTTTGGTTACGTTCATTTGATAAAGAAATGTATTTACCAAATCCCGAGATTGTTATATTCCCACCCCCACCCCTTCTCTTTCAATCTAAAAAAAATAAAATAGTTTTATCAACTTGGTATCTGTTTAATCCGAAATGATGATACTTGAAGTAAATTATACTTAAAAAAAAAAGAAAACCTGAATTTTTATACAAAACACCTATGAACAATTATTGAACTTATTTTATTATTCACAAGAAAAGTGTGATGCTAAACTAAATTTCAAACTTCGGGATATATATTTCGTCAATAAAAAATGTACAGCGAGTTTTTTTTTTTTTTTTGGTTCATGAATTTTCCATTGTTTTGTTTTTTTTGAAACTTCAAACGCTGTGTTGGGTAGAAACGGATACAACAATACCAGTTACACTGGCAGGGGTACATTCACACGACTTGTGCTTATCGTTCTGTGGACAATAAGCTTTAACTTGCCACATGCTAAATAAGACGGAAGTTTCTGTAATTTATAGTATTAAATTTAAATAATTTAATATGAATTTTAGTTATTCATAGTACTTTCTAGATGAATGTTTCCATTTTTTTTTTACTGACGACGTTCCAAATTTTGACGACTTAGTTTGACTTGAACGACACCAATACTGCTACATGCAATATATATTTTGTAGTTTTTTCTTTATGTTCTTAATTATTCTTTGTTTGACGAATCTCTCGCGACACCCCTAATAATTTGCTGCGACACACAGTTCGACACACTGTTATAGATTAATATACAACATTAGTTTCCTTAAAACAGTAATAACTAGATTGGTCAAATGTGATATGTGTGGTACATGAAGCTTCACATGATCTATTTGGTAATATCACTAAGCCTAAAATCGTCAGGTGTTTTTTAGGTTAAGGGCCAAAAACACCGCCAACAGTGAGAGTACCCAAATGATGACGTAGGGCAGAATGGTCCTAGAAACTTTTTAAAATTGGCCTGTTATTCATAAGTAAGACTGTATATTATTATTATTATTTGTAATTGTTATTGTAGAATTTTAGCGGCTTTTGTGACAGAAGTTGTTACATAATTATTATCGCACTCACTCAAATGTTTATACTCACGTTTTCCTCGTGAAGCGGACATTCTGAAAAATCTGAGATACTCAAATAATAAGTCATCTCTTTTGGATCATCCTTGTCCGACAAAATCTGACAAAACTTGTGTTTCTTCGGGTCGATGTGTCGGTTGTCAGCAAATACAGGGTGGCCTCTGAATCCCGGAGGCTTTTTGAGGGTGGCTGTTAAGATATCTGATCCACTTGCTGACGCTCTCTCGTGGCATTTAATATTTGAAACTATAATTTAACATCAAAAGTTAAGTAATTTTATTGATGTAAATTTGTTAATTCCAACATTCTACCACATGAAACCTTTACACAACCCATAACCTATTGACTTATTAATTCTGTTGCCCTCTAGTGTTTAAATATTTAACCTAAATGTACGATGGTTAATCTCAAATTATTTCATGTGGATTATTAGGAAATTAGGATAGGATTTCACTACCACAAAAACAAGTAGAAAATTTTTATTTAATCGATTTTCAAGTATTCTGCTTAAAATGTTTTAAATTCTTTAAAGTTTTTATCCGTCAGGCAAATAAGAGTGTTTTCTAAAGTCATTTTATGAAGTTTAGTTTCTAAAGTCAGTCTAAGAAGTTTAGTTTCTAAAGTCAGTCTAAGAAGTTTAGTTTCTAAAATCAGGATTAGAAATTTAGTTTCTAAAGTCAATCTAAGAAACTACGTTTCTAATTTTAGGCTAAAAAGTTTAGTTTTTAAAATCATGCTAACTAGCAAAGATCTGCTATTAGAGTCAAAATTGTATTAAAATAAGTGAGAGCTACAGACGTAAGATTTGTAAGACTTATCCTTTAATATCAGGGTTTAGTAATCACACTAAAAACAGTAAAACGTAAGGCAATTAGGCTTATATCTCAAGTTTAGTTGACTCTAATTGAGTTTAACATGCAACTATATTCTTTACTTACCTTCATAATCTTGACCATTTGCCAAGGATGGCAATAGCTAAACAAAAAAATAAAGAATAATGCTTATTATCTTTGCAGTTTATCATTTAATGTATATATGTGTGTGTCTGTTAAACATTATAACTAAAGCTGTTAAAAACCTTTCAAGAATGAAAACGGGACATAAAAACTCGTAGATTTTTTCATATACTGTCACTGATTTCCTGTCCCAACAAAACCAGACACAAACTTACACAAAACTTACTAAAATCCTCTATAGCATCATTTAGAGAATGATGAAAGATGTAAAATGATTAACTTGAATCTCAACCCAAGTTACCAGAGGCCTCGAAAACTTTAATCTAAGATAATATCTATGTTCTATATTCTAAGTTTATTAGTTGTAGTATATATTAGATCTACTAGTTGTAGTATAACCTAAGTTTACTTGTTGTTGTATAACTTAGATCTACTAGTTGTTGTATATCCTAAGTTTACTTGTTGTTGTATATACTTAGATCTACTAGTTGTAGTATAACCTAAGTTTACTTGTTGTTGTATATATTAGATCTACTAGTTGTTCTATATTCTAAGTTTATTAGTTGTTGTATATATTAGATCTACTAGTTGTAGTATAACCTAAGTTTACTTGTTGTTGTATATATTAGATCTACTAGTTGTAGTATAACCTAAGTTTACTTGTTGTTGTATATATTAGATCTACTAGTTGTAGTATAACCTAAGTTTACTTGTTGTTGTATAACTTAGATCTACTAGTTGTTGTATATCCTAAGTTCATTAGTTGTTATATAACCCAGATATTCTGATTGTTCTATAATCTAAGTTTACTTGTTGTTCTATAACCTAGGTTTACTGCTTGTTCTATAACCTAGGTTTACTGCTTGTTCTATAACTTGGATTTACTGCTTGTTCTATAACTTGGATTTACTGCTTGTTCTATAACCTAGGTTTACTGCTTGTTCTATAACTTGGATTTACTGCTTGTTCTATAACCCAGGTTTAATGGTTATTCTATAACCTAGGTTTACTGCTTGTTTCAAAACCTAGATTTACGGGTTGTTCTATGACATAAGTTTACTGGTTGTTATATAACATAGTTTTAGTGCTTGTTCTATAACCTAGGTATACTGGTTCTTCTATAATCTAAGTATACTGCTTGTTCTATAACTAAGATTTATTGGTTATCTTAGATCAACAAGGGTTAGTTTAGCTACAAATTAGTTTTACTATGAAACTTTATAGTGTCCGCTTCCAAATGAACTGTCTCACAAGCTTCTGTGCTAATTTTCAAACAATTCTCCTGAAATCCTTCTGCATAGGTATGATATCAGCAAACAAAAAGTTTAATAAAGACTCTGAATCCACGTTCACGTAGAGATGTTGAAACCTGAAGGCCTAGTGTCACGTTAGTCTACGTTTATGTTGCTTTGGTTACTTTACAAGGGGACCGGGCGGCTCAATGTTGCCTGTATATATAAACATTTTGTATTTGAAGCACATGAGCCCTTCATAAAGCTTAGAACGTCTGTAGGGAGGAGTAAGTTATCATTATCACTGTTGTTACACCATCTACAAAGAGGTTAGCACCTTCTAAACCTAACGTTCTCCCACGCTTAATGTATGGAATCTAATGAAGGTTATCATAAACAGCTGTAGTGGGAAAATCCATTAGTGCTACATCTTTAACTATGCCTCGTAAAGGTCACGAACTTTATTTCTTACTAACGTAGTAATTACTTAATTACTTTTTCATGCAACACGAACCTTCATTTCTAGTAAGAACGAACACACCAATCTGCCTTGATAAACTTTCATTTATAAAGTTCTTAAAACTATGAAAAGAATGAGAACATCTCCAATTGTTGAGTTTTCTGATCGCCTAGCGATCCGTGAAAAATCGTGTTTGATTGAATAATTTGATGGCCATGAAGGTAGGGATTATTCATGATGTTAGCAGAACACGTAGGTTCAAGAAATCAATCTAATACCAAAATACGATAACCCTATAACCCGAAGGCTTTCGAAAGGTGGACCTTTTTTGTTCAGTTTGACCCTGAAGAATACAGGTTTATCTTTCGGAAGCGTTCGAGTTATAATGTAGGGATTATGCTAATCTCCTTAAATATATATATTAAACCGTTTTCTATACATCTATCTATCTACCTATTCACCCATCCAATCATTCATCTATCTACCCACCCATCCACCCACCCACACTACCCCCCCCTTCCATCCATCCATTTATCTACCTATCCAACCTTCATTTATCCACCCATCTAGATAACTATTTGTGATTTACTTGAAACATTTAGACTTACCATGAGAACAGCAGCAGTTTTCATGTAGTCGGCTAGACGAAAGAAGTGTATAGTGGCTCTATCTGGTGGATTCATGACTAAATTACATCTATAATGAAATATAAGTAACATTAACGTACTTCAGTATGGAAGCACCTTATGCTAATATAATAATAAGTTGGCAAACTACGATTTATATGCATAATGAAGGGATTTATTTTTTGGGAAACACACTACATGTTTCGACACAACGCTGGACTGTGTTCTGTCGGTATCAATATTTAACCTGGTTACAAGATACTGACTCTGAAGGTCTTCAGGTATCAGTAGTTAACCTGGTTACAAGATACTGACTCTGAATATCTTCAGGTATCAATATTAACCCGATTACAAGATACTGACTCTGAATGTCTTCAGGTATCAATATTAACCCGATTATAAGATACTGACTCTGAATGTCTTCAGGTATCAATATTTAACCCGATTACAAGATACTGACTCTGAATGTCTTCAGGTATCAATATTAACCCGATTATAAGATACTGACTCTGAATGTCTTCAGGTATCAATATTTAACCCGATTACAAGATACTGACTCTGAATGTCTTCAGGTATCAATATTTAACCCGATTATAAGATACTGACTCTGAAGGTCTTCAGGTATCAGTATCTAACCTGGTTATAAGATACTGACTCTGAAGGTCTTCAGGTATCAGTATTTAACCTGGTTACAAGATACTGACTCTGAAGGTCTTCAGGTATCAATATTTAACCTGGTTATAAGATACTGACTCTGAAGGTCTTCAGGTATCAGTATTTAACCTGGTTACAAGATACTGACTCTGAAGGTCTTCAGGTATCAATATTTAACCCCTGGTTATAAGATACTGACTCTGAATGTCTTCAGGTATCAATATTTAACCCGATTACAAGATACTGACTCTGAATGTCTTCAGGTATCAATATTAACCCGATTACAAGATACTGACTCTGAAGGATAAACCAAACATTTCTCAATTTTTCTTTTCGAGCTAGGGTCATAAAATTATTAAGATAAATGGAATATAAACTTTCTGTTTCTGGGGACAGACTTACATAAAGGTTTTATGGGAAATTCATTAAAATTCCCCCAAGAACAACATTCCAGTTTCATTAGTGCTTTTGAGATTTGAACTTGAAAGATATTTGCAGGCATGTGCACATGTAAATTAGTTAACTTAATAAGTTAAGTTAATTGATCTACTTTAATTAACTACTTAAAAAAATATCTGTAGTATTTCATTAAAAAAAATCTATCACAAATCTTACTTTACAATATATCTTTATTCTGTTCGGGACTTAAAAACATATTGATAGAATATTTTAAAAATATATAATTCAGGCGAATCAAATTGAATATACTACGAACAATAAGAAAATATAATCGCTCTCACTATAGAAATACTTATATTTTTATCTCTTCCTATAGTTCAACAATAAACTTCGGGGCTTATAACGCTCGAATTTGGGGTTTAATCGCCGCAGCGAACACGGTGAAATCGCTCTCACTATAGAAATACTTATATTTTTATCTCTTCCTATAGTTCAACAATAAACTTCGGGGCTTATAACGCTCGAATTTGGGGTTTAATCGCCGCAGCGAACACGGTGAAACTTTATCCTAAAACAAGCTATCTCACAGGTGGCACTTATGACATAATTTAAGGGTTTTGAAAAGGAAAGAAGGTGTGAGGTGAGTGGGAGGAAGAGATTCGTTGACTGTTCGATCAGTGGGGTTAAAAGCTGGTCACTCTAGAAGTCTTAAGTAATATATAGTTTCAGCTTCTTGAACATTGAATACGAGAAATTAATACTAGTATATTTTGTACACATTGTTTGATGGTCTAATTGTTAGTATAGTTTGTACACATTGTTTGATGGTCTAATGTTAGTATATTTTGTACACATTGTTTGATGGTCTAATGTTAGTGTAGTTTGGACACATTGTTTGGGGGATTAAGTTTAGTGTAGTTATTTTACGGAACATTAAGATAAATCAATAAAGATATACCTAAAATCCTAGAAAAATTAAACTCGTAGTAAAACTATCAGAAGCGTATAATAAATGATATAGCATAGTAAGAGATGACGTGGTAACGATAAGATTAGTGTCATGACATAAAAGACTGTTTGGTTTAAATATTAGTGATTAATTTATATTTGTGAGTGAATACTTTATTATTTGTAACTTTTTTTTAATAAGAGTTAAAAGCAGACGATTGTAGAAGGTTTTGTTAATAACTAATTGGTGTCGAGAATACAGAAAATGGCCAGACGACTATGTAATAAAAATATAAATAGCGCGAGACGAGCGGGAAGCAGCAGACAGATAATAGCAAAAGAGAATATAGCTGTGTGAAGTTAAGTACCATAGATGTGATAGGCTTAACGTTTAATATGTTAGAGTGAAACTAACAGTATAAAAAAAGATAAGAAGGATAATTTTATTCCGTCAAAGCGTGGTTCTAAAGTAATTGAATCAGCCTGGGTACACTTTGACAAAAGGAACAGAGGAGCTTCAGAAGAAAGAAGACCAAACGAATTACAGTAACTTGCGCCACAACTGTAAGTGAATCACACACAGAATACTAGTATGATAGTAATATAGAGAAAATAGTTCAACTCGTCAACTGATATTCTAA